ACGTTTAAATAACGAACAGTCATTTATAACACAAAATCTGCCTAAACGGTTTTCAAAGACGCATTCGCTAATGCAAAAGGTCGATAATGTGTCCAACGTGCAAATGAGCCAAGGTCAGTGTTCACCATGTAACATTAAAGTTACCTCTGCTTCTCGATGTTACTTCCAGTTATTGCCGCAAAATGTAATCATACAAATCATTTTGCGAGCAGTGTTTTTTTTAATAAAGCCATTATCTCTGATCATATTTACTTTCATTTTCAGCATGACTAAAGATCGCGAAAGCTTTTCGGAAATTCCTTCTACGTGAGGGTCTGGAAGTGAGGAGGAACCTCTCTGGTAAGTCGAGGCGGTGTTGCTCGCGACGCCATTGATATCTTTCCGCGAACAAAACCACCAAGGTTCTCTAAATCCGTTGGTCATCCAGATGAAGAATGTTGGAGAAACGTTGACAACAGTTCATCAGGGGTGGCCCTCCGAATTAACTCACCAAAAAGTGCGCAAAGAAAGGAGATGAAATCAAAGACTGCAAAGCAACCCGCGAAAATATGTACAGGGTACCAACCTGAACAACACATATGATGCATAGCATTTAAAAATTTCATTTCATGGGACGATGTATTGAATCAAACGTCAAATGACAAACAAAAGCAAACGGATAACGCACTTTTATATGACCGTCATCCATTAGCAGGTATTTTCCGTTTCCGGCACCCACGTCAAGCAGAATGGAATTCGCCGGAAGCGACATCAAAAGCCGCTTCACTCCGGGCCACTGACTGAACCGAGTCTTGTCGAAGTGTTTCGCAATCGCGTCGTAAGTCTAAACGACGTCTTAATTTTGCACTGATGAGTACGAATACACAGCTACTCTATGGACGTATTCAAGTTCGAGTTTTCGTGCTTTCAACGATTCGACATTGCCAGGCAAACATTCTATAATACCACACTTGAGGCTAGTAAAACTGTCCAAATGTGATCCTTTCGTAATCCCAAATAAAGTCAAGCTCATGATAATATCAAAATGACATAAGAATGAATAACTCGAAATAAATTTTATGAACAAACAGTGTCCGTGAAATATTTCGTTCAAAGCTTCTATCGGCCGTCCAATATTTTTATCACCCAGTGTTAAGTAAAACTGATCTGTGCAGTTACCCCTTGGTGGCAATAACTAGCACTGCGCAAAGCTAGTTTATGCGATCTTACGTGGTAGAAGTTGATCTGAGTTCAGCACCGATCAGCCTGGTTTACGTGAGAGAGTGCATCACTAAAAACAGATTCAGCTCGACTTTTATCTTTAAACGATTTTTCATTATTTTAATGGCGTTGTTTTAAGTTAATTTTAAACGTTAATCGGCTAAAGGAATTGCGATTATCTTTTCTTATAACAGCAACAACAATAAATGATTGATTCTTCGTCAGAATTAACAGACATACCACTTCCAAGTCTCGATGTCCAGGTTCGTCCGTCTCGTTGTCGTAATGATCGCCACAAGCCTCCATATTTCTCTTATTCATCATCTTCTTCATCTTCCATCGCCGCTTCTTTTTTCGGGTAGCGGAGGCAGACGCGTCAGACAGTGCTTCCAACGTTCCCGATCCTGTGACAGAGTCTGAGCTTCGGCAAA